AGCTAGTGCATTACAAATGCTTTTGTATTATGAAGAAAAATGACAAACATACTATAGATTTATAAAATTAACTGTCATTGACCAATTTAAAATTAGTGATGCACGATCGTGATTTTTCATAGCCGATTCCGATACCGATTTTTTACAAGCAAATTGGCCGATTCCGATACCGATTTTATTATTTTTTTTATCAAGTAACAAACAAGAAAGAATAAAAGTACACACAAACAAGATGTTTATTTGGTATTTAACAGGCTAAACTGTGTTTTGACTATTGAAAACAACAACTGTAACTATCTGAAATTAACAGCAGTAACTGCGCAGTAAGTAGGCTACATTCAATACAAACATAGGTAGGCCTACTGACAAAAGCATTTAGCTTTTGTTTTTAAATTGGGTTGACACTTCCGGAAAAATCGGACGAAAAAAATACAAAAAAGCCGATCGGGCATTATAAGCAAAAACCGACCGGTTCCGATTTATGGCCGGTCAACCGGTGCATCCCTATTTAAAATGTTTATTTGTTGTCTGATTTGGACATTTTTCTTGTATCTGGCATTTTATGTTACATGTTAATCTTATGTCATGAGAAATGTTATCTGCTAGTCTTGACTGTGTATGATTTTCAATCATCCAAGGTGTAGTTGATGTTGGTAACACTTTTTAATGTATACTGTATTGTAGCTAATAGTTGTAGTGCATTACAAGGGATTTGTGTCATCTAAATTAAATTTATGAAATTGAGATTTAGAACATTTTGTTGTGCCTCTGCATGCATTGTTCTCTACCCTGAACATTTTTGACAAATTAAATTGCTAACATTTTTTCATCTGTCTGTTTTATTTCAATTTTGTAGAATTTCAAATTGATGGCAGTGCTTATTATTTTTGTCATATTAACACATTAATTAGCAGTTTCTGATAATTTTCAGTTACACACAAATGTGTTTAAATGACACGTGTTAAATTACATTACACAGTAGATGTGTGATCCATCTTAACACACAAATTGTGTTAAATTTGACACAACGTGTTGTCCCTGAGCACACTCACCACATGTGTTAAAATTCTGCACAACGTGTCATTTTTAACACATCTCTTTTTGCAGTGTAGGGGTGTGTGATGTTGTGATGTTATGATATCTCTATATTTTCTGGGATTTTATCGATAACGATCGATAATCAGACAATATTTTGCTGAGTGTGTGAGTGTGTTGGACTGCCATGGACAGCTGATTCTGTGGTGGTCAGTTCACAGCAGTGACAGAAATGAATCTTTTCCAACAAGTTTAAAATGATTTTTTACCCTTTATGGGCATTTTTACCTTTGTAAAGCCATTTTTCTCTCAATAAAAAGTCATCAATATAGTCAATTACAATAATAAGTCATTTGGGGCTGTTTCCAACAAATAAAATCATTATCAACAAAATTCATGCAATGCAGAGGAAACACAGAAGCTACATCTGAAGTGGCATTCAGATGCATATACACAGTTTAATGCAAGGCATGAATGCTTTAACCTGCAGTTACAAATGCATAAATAATGTTTTGATATTTTAATCTTAAAACGTTGAATACTGATATTTGAAATTATTTAAAGGGGTCATATGATGCTATTTTAAAGATCATTATTTTGTGTATTTGGTGTAACAGAATATGTTGACATGCTTTAATGTTCAAAAAACACATTATTTTTCAAATACTGTACATTATTGTAGGTCCTCTATGCCCCGCCTCTCTCAAACACGTAGTTTTCAACAAAGCCCCCTCCTTTGACTCTTTCATGGTGTAAGTCTTATAAACTAACATAGTATGCTTTGGAGTATTGTTTGCAACCCTTATTGTCTTTTGTTCTTACTTGTCATTGTAATTGTATTTGTTGTTCTAATATTGCATAATAAAAAAAAAAAAGACAAGCGCAGTCTGCTCTGATTGGCCAGCTGACCCAGTGCATTGTGATTGGCCGAACACCACAAGCACGCGTCAGAAATGTAACGCCCCTCACCATAATCGCAGCTTCAGCTTTCAAAGTAAATATCAAGGCAGTTAATAATGTCATTAGTTTTACCATCAGTTCAAGCCCGAAAGGACAACAGAGTCGCGTGACAGACACAGTGATGATGCAGTACACAAGCCGCGGTTAAGACAGCTGACATGTTATGATTTCTGACAGGCTGTTCACTCTCCTGTGATGTGACCCTGTTCCCCTCACACACACACACGACGCGTTACTCTGCGCTGCACAAAACTCTGCATTTGAACAGTCAATAGCAAATACTAAAACTAATAACAAAACATACTTACAGCCGCTGATTCAGAAGAAGGCCAAATAAAGTGCTTTTGCTTTTGCACTGAAACACAAAGCGTCTCCCTGACGTGGCTGCATCAACACTACTGCTCTTCCTGAAACCACGCCTTCTTTCTTTGCGTGCACATTTGGGCGGCATTATGCTAATATTTCCACATAGTGACGTAGACATGTGGGGGCGTATTAGAACGAGCCGTTTTAGGTAGGTGTTGTTGACTCTTAACTTTTATAAAGAATATCTCTTTGGATTTGATACTTTAGTCTTTGCAACTTTACAGATCTTCTTTATGCAGGGCACGGACAGGTAACGTTACACTCGCGCAACTTCAGCGAGTGCAGGAAAGCGGCTCTTATTTGTGCGCCAGTACACCAACGGCTGTTCGCTCTTGGTATCTGTGCCTCAGACAGGTAGCTCTGCATTTCCATCGTGCATCGCCAACAGTGAGCTTGCTCTGCGTAGTATTTTTTCTGCTGGCGCCTCTGTGCACACTTCCGGAAAAATCGGACGAAAAAAATACAAAAAAGCCGATCGGGCATTATAAGCAAAAACCGACCGGTTCCGATTTATGGCCGGTCAACCGGTGCATCCCTATTTAAAATGTTTATTTGTTGTCTGATTTGGACATTTTTCTTGTATCTGGCATTTTATGTTACATGTTAATCTTATGTCATGAGAAATGTTATCTGCTAGTCTTGACTGTGTATGATTTTCAATCATCCAAGGTGTAGTTGATGTTGGTAACACTTTTTAATGTATACTGTATTGTAGCTAATAGTTGTAGTGCATTACAAGGGATTTGTGTCATCTAAATTAAATTTATGAAATTGAGATTTAGAACATTTTGTTGTGCCTCTGCATGCATTGTTCTCTACCCTGAACATTTTTGACAAATTAAATTGCTAACATTTTTTCATCTGTCTGTTTTATTTCAATTTTGTAGAATTTCAAATTGATGGCAGTGCTTATTATTTTTGTCATATTAACACATTAATTAGCAGTTTCTGATAATTTTCAGTTACACACAAATGTGTTTAAATGACACGTGTGTTAAATTACATTACACAGTAGATGTGTGATCCATCTTAACACACAAATTGTGTTAAATTTGACACAACGTGTTGTCCCTGAGCACACTCACCACATGTGTTAAAATTCTGCACAACGTGTCATTTTTAACACATCTCTTTTTGCAGTGTAGGGGTGTGTGATGTTAACAAAATATGATATCTCTATATTTTCTGGGATTTTATCGATAACGATCGATAATCAGACAATATTTTGCTGAGTGTGTTG